GATATCAAATTTAATTGGAAGATTGTTTCTGTAGCTTCGCAGCCAGGCTAAATTGGGTTCGTATGCCAAACAAGCTTTTATCACACTTTTACGTTCAGCTGACGTTTTGTGATTTGAGGATTTGAAGTAAAAGGATAGAACAGACAACATTAAAGGTTGGCGTGCCGGCAACTGACGGTTTTTAGGCTTTATAACGCATCCCTATTCACAACTACATACATTTTATAATTATATTTTACTTAAAGTCATTGCAGAAAATATTTCATCTACTTACAGGGTCACCTGATAGTAACTTTTGGTGTATAGGGTTCTAAAATCGGAAATATGCGTTAAGATCACAAATATTTTTAAATCATAGTGGTTTGTTAGCGGGCAATAGTCAATTGCTATTCCTTCTTACGTTACCATTTTATATTGTCCGGAGGAGGCTTCTTTGGTATAATTTCTTATCTAAAGACCCAAAGCACTATTTTCCAGTTGTCTAAACTTGTTTTTTATCGCTCTATTCCAATGTTAAATTGTGAACTAGACTTATGTACGGGTTGCTAACACGAGGAACCGCCTTTTTAAACTCTGTCTAGCTAAAGTAATCAAGATTTTGAACATGTGTACTCTTTTTGGGGCAATTTCCGCATCACTTTCACTCTAATAGATCAGGTGACAGGCATGTTAATACACTTGCGTTTGTATTTCTGTCACCTATGGTAGACATCCGTTTGGCAACAAATTTTACTGAACTCGGGGCAATCATTAATCCAGGCGTAGGCGAATTGAATGCTTTACATTCGGTTGCCGTTTTCTCCTTTTGCGATCTAGTTTTGAGGCTCTTTTTTGCTCTCTCATAATTGTGCATGTAGTTGGCTGGACTTTCAGACCGCTCCGCACTAAACACTCCTCTACGACTTTTTGGAAGATCTTGATGCAAATGTACACTTATTCCTACGCTCTCGTGTTCGCAGAAATGAAGCTTTAACTTTGGGACTTCTGCTTCAGATCCCTTGAGTATGGCATAACTTCTCCCTACTTGGTGTAGTTCCCGCATTAATTGTTATCTCAGAGTACACCCTCTCACGCCATCCTTTAAAGGCAGCCAAATTGTGAGACAGTTGTCATAGGTCGTAAACTTGCTATTTTCTACTACAATATCCAAATACAAGGAAGTTTTTAAAGGTTCCATGTAGAAGACCGAGATGATTAGCAATGGTCAACTTTAGTATAATCATTTCTTTACAGATTGATCATATAATGAAGTCAATTGCGGTTTTTCACCCCTCAACACTTTCTTAGGCATAGTGGTAGGGCCTTTATTTTTCTTCGGTGCTTTGCTTTCATACCTCTCCATAGTTTGCTTTGGTACAATGTGATTACTCTCGTTCCCGACATGTTGATAAACAGTACTCAAACCTCAATTTATCTCTAGCCAACTTACCAGAAATATCGCATTTTCCAGTTGTCCTGTTTGATCAGGTCTATATTACCGCATTTCCACGGTACAAAGCCTTGATTTATCATCTACGTATTTAATTATTGCTTGATCTTCTATCCTCTTTTTGGCAAGTCAAGATGTTGACGTGTCTCTTCTCATTCCCGTTACTTGTTGATCACAGTAGCAGGGACCCTTGTACTTCTATTTGTATGAAGTGGTACAGATTTCCTCATCATTCTTATTGCGAAAAGTGGTACAGCTCTGTTTTGTTCCTTTTCTTAGTGCCTTACTGGAACATTGTCTTCTGACATCTTCTTTTGACCACAGTATTTTAATCTCATTTCAGTTTGCACATTTTAATTCACAAGGATGTTTTTGCCAGTGTATCAATTGATCGAGTTGGTACACCGCTTTTCCAATGGATGAATTTCCCTAGTCAGATGTAAATTCATTGACAGCACTGCATTCCTTATTACGCCTCATTCTCGATCCTTTTTGATCACTATTGGACTGTTTTATTCTTTTTCAATTCGTCCATTATGTAAGTATCAAAGTTATCCCTTGTAAACTTATTAGACTTAGTCCAATATTTTAAACTCACTTGGGATGCTTGTTGGCCACAGCGGCAGAGCCTTGACCCATCGCTTATTGACCGACTAATCCTGTTCTTCTTCATATCTTGACAGATTAAACTGTTACAAGGATTCTCCGCCTCCCTTAACAGCGATGGTGTGCTTGAAGTGAGAGGCGCAATGCCGACTGACAGTTCGCCCCCCTCTGTCAGTCGTTCTTTTATTCCCACCGTCAGTGCCACCACCTCCTGCATGAACTCCCCCCCACTACCGCCTCGGCGTCCTCCTCCACCATCTTCGCTCCTCCGACGACACAACCTCCCTTCACTAACCAATTTACAAGACTCAATGGCTGAGGAGAATGCGAAGCTGCGGCTTATGGTAATGTATTCCCTTTCTAGCACGCTATTTTCCTGTTCTCATAATGTCTCTAATGAGGATTCGTGGAAGTATTCCTCCACTCCTCGTCTAGCAAGCCTGTAATAAAGTTTTCTAATTAATCATTTTGATTTCGGTGCTTACTGCAGTTCTCGTTGGCATTGCTCTCGACAGACTGCACCTTTTACCAAAGTATTGCGAGTCTGTTGTTATAACCGAGGGAGCAATTATTTCTAAGTTCTGGAGTCTGCTAACAACAGGCCAATCGGCTGTCCTGCTATTGACTTCGAAGTATTACACCACACCGGATGACTTAATGGCGTGAAATTACCCTTTGAAACCTCTCTTTTAAGCTGATCATTTACAGTAATAAAGGTATGATCATTACAGTTCTCAACAAGAGGGTGGATTGCTGTAAATATAGTAGTACCCAATGCTTCAATTAGCGCTTTTGGTGGTTTTAGACCACTGTTGTGGCTGCAAGTAATCGCTGGAGTTGTCTAACCATTTACTCGGCTTCATTGGTCTTGTTTATTGCCCTTACCACCTTGCGCGTTCATGAATGAAATCTTCCGCGGTGATTCCCTTAGCAGGCTATTTCAATAACCCTCCCCATAGATGAAAGGTTTGTGATCTCCAGGGTAGTCCGTAATGAAGTCGAACCACCAGCTTCTTAAGTTTGGTGCTTACGGATAATTATCCATTGAAGAAGCGATACATTTATCATTAGCAATCGCATTTAAAAAAAATTATAATACACCACTGATGTGTTAATACGACTTGCTGTTTATTTCTGTCGAAAATACGTTTCTGCTATTTGAGCCTTGATTTCATTGGACATGATGTGGCTTTTTTGAAAACATTTTTAAATCAAAGTTGCTTATAACCACTGCAATGCTTGAAGATATGTTAAAGAAAAGATTTCACGTATTGTACATGTATCCTGCTTTGCCAACCATTAATCGGTACTTTTTGATCACATTTTTGCATTTGTAGGGAGCGGATGTTGACGTTTTACTATTTTTGACACATATACTCTAGCACATTTTGAAGCCCCCTCATCACTCGTAGTTTGTACTACTACTGCCTTGTGCATTCATTAATGTATGCAAACTTCAATACCAGTACTGCTGACCACGCTGTATGCAGAGGGATTGTTGCTACTACTCTTAACTACCGGTGACGTTCCTCTACGCTGTTTCCGTAAGTGTTGTCTGGGATGTGGTGGAGAGTTGAACTGCATGTCTTTAGATTTGAGGCTTTCTGATTTCACTTAAAACTTAAGCGGCATTTCACATTCTGTAACATTTTCGTGTGATATAGAATATGGCTCGTTTTAAGACGACTTAAATGTACAATCCTGTGGCTCAGAGTGTTTCATCACTATGCCACATTCCACTATTTTTCTTAAACTACAAATACTTCAATGGATTTCTACTTCAATATGCAATTTGATATC